TATTTTTTTTTTTTTTTTTTTTTTTATGTATGTTACCGCATAACTTTGGACCACGTCAACCGATTTCGATAATTCTTTTTGCATCGGAAAGGTAGTGTCTCAGAGGTGGTCCCATACTAATCTGGTTGAGATCCGATCAGTGGATCATGAGATATATATATATATATATATATTTTTTTATATGGGAGTTGAAGTCGGTTTTTTTTTGCTAAAAATTACTTGTTTAACAAAGCGTGATTGAATTTGACCATGCTCTCAGAAGAACCAGCCTGTAAAGTCAAATTGAAAAAAATTTGTATGAATTTTGAATCGTTTGTTTATATTTTTCTACATAATAAAATATAAAAAGAGAGCCGCACTGAGTTGTCAATAACACCTAAGCAATTACTTTTTCTCAGATTTTCATACCTTTCACTTAAATTTATTTGAAAAAATTTAGTGAAAGGTCTGAAATTTCAAGAAAAAGCATTTGCTTAGGTTTTATGCATACGGCCCCTTGTTTAGTACACCCATGATACAAATATTTATAGGTAAAACCGCTTGCTCAATTCGTCGGCCGTCATTTATTTTTTGAAGTTTGTCAATTTTATAAAATTGAAATGTTGAGAGCAACTCAAATGCCAAATAAAAGTAAAACGAAAAACAAATAGATGAAAATATTGAAATTTTCATTTATTTGAGACTGAAAATGAGAATGTATTTGTGAGATTGAAAATTTGAAAACATTTTTGTAATGTTAGCAAACTTTAAAAATGTTCAGGCTGACTCTCAGCGGTTTTACCTTCAGATTTTTGTATCATGAATACACCTTGGTCGAGATATCACGAACAAGTTTTCCTTTATTTATTTTTACTTAAAATCCTTAAATATGTATCTAGATTTTTTTCTGTAGAATACGTATTAATTTTTTTTTTTAACGATTAAAAAAAAGGGAGGACAGTCGGATCTACGTAACCAGAACGACCTGAATGCGCATTGAAGTCGGTTGTATTTTTTGCTTAAAATTATTTGTTATTATTGAGATACAGTTTCGCTACTATTTAGAGATTTCTCGACATACTTTTTCATATTACTGTTATTTATTTATTTTTTTCTTATTAGTCATTTATATGTTTAGGACTTACTGTGGGTGCTTTAAGATTCATTTTGTTAATATGTATGTACATATAAAAAACAATTGCGATATTTTATTTTAAATTATGAATTTTATTCGTGCAATTTTTTATGCTTAATAGTTTTGAGAACATTTTTTGGTTCTGTTGATTATTTTATTGCATGCCTTAAACTTTTTTACTTTAAGTTATAATGTTGTCAAGCACTTTAGCTAGGTGCGAGAAATTTAGCATATGCGCGTAAGAGCATAGAGTAGGTATACGGCTGTGCTGCCGCGATTCTCCAACATCTTGTCAAAGGAGAAAACATATTGGTGGCGGAATCCATCGTAGTCCATTTTTTTCTTAAAATCTACGAAAAAGCGATCACTGAATCTGAACTGCTATGAACGTGTGTATTCAAAGCAAGCGCTGCGTTTCTATTCTATTCGAACTTAATAGCATTTTCGTAGATTTCACGAATAATCGGACTATGATGGATTCTATGATAGCCTTCCCTGCAAGAACAGTGACTATCATTTGACAAATCATTTGAGTGGCAAGACTGATAGAGATTTATGTCACTGGCTACCTACAAGTTTCTATCAAATTCTAAAGGGCAGTATGAAAAATCTGATGTAAACATTTCTGTACATGTGATCTTCCGTCTTCCTCCAACTTATGGGTTTATTTAATGGTCTCTTTTTAACCAACGCAAAATTTGCAAATGTGTTAGTAAGATAAATGAGAATGTGTTAGTTTCCATCACACAATTCTTGTAGGGTTGATTAGTTCGTGCGATTATGACTTATGGATCGATTATGGATGGGAACGGAACCTCAGTTGGGTTGCCGAGGGATAGCGCCACTGAAATGAAAATGTTTTTTATTATGAATAGCAATAATTAAGTTACATAACCCTGCAAAAAATAGGACTAATCCGCGATGACTCCGGGAGCAATCGCAAAGGAGCATGCGACTAATACCACTTTTGATCTCTTTATATGGAATGAACTGATCGCTTTTGTTCGAGCATGTCCTATGAAGAGACTAATTGTTCACCTTTATACCTGAACGGGTATGAAAAGCGACTAGTCACTTTTAAAAAATAAAAATAAAAATTTGCACCAGCTGAGATTCGAACCGGGGTGCTCAGTTTTGTTAGGCGAATACTCCCTCTGTGTGCCAACGCCGCACATGAAATTTCATTGACTAAGTGCGTACATATCATTAAATCGTTAATAGTACCCGTTAGAGATGAGTTGGGGACTAATTGATCTCCAATTATACCAATAAGGGATGAGTCGAGACTAATTGACTTCCAATAGTACCCGTATGAGACTAGTTGGGACTAATTAATGCCCAATTGTACCCGATTGAGAGTAATCTCGGAATACTCGCTTTAGAGATTAGTCGCACAATTTTTTGCTGGGAAAGTTCAAAGTGGTACAATTTAAAAAAAAAGTTGAAAAAAGAAATAAAGTATCTCTATCAAAAATTCCCGGCAGCCTCAAAAACGCACTTGCCAATATAGCAATTTAGTTGCCAGCTTTCAGTTGCTAGTTGCCATCGGTAATACAATTTCAGCCACTGGCCAACTAACTGAAGTTCGGTTGTCCTCCGTAATGGACCCATAAAATCGGAATCGAATATGCATGCACGTTCTGCTGAACGATAAATATTTTGTAAATGTGTGCTCTGTCCGCTAACGAATTCCAGCCATGTGTGAAATATCGTATTACGCTGGAATTTCAGGGTAGTATTTTATATATATATAAGAAAAATTTGGAAGTTAGGGGGGGCGGTCGAGCACCCCCCTGCCCCTACCTGGCTACGCCCATGCGCAGTTGCATTCACACGTGATATAAGCCGTCATCGATTTGCCAGCCGTTAGCGAGTGGCGAAACGAACGAACTTAATGAGGTACAACCAAATTCGCTATCGTCTATCCGTGCTAGCTAACTTTGTTGTTGCTTTCACATGCAAAATTCTTCTTTAAGCGACCGGAACTCAAACATAGCGAGCGAGAAGTGGCGAATCGATGACGGCTAATAGCTAGAGTCGACAAGCTGTGGGAATGCCCAGGAGATGGCGTTTGTTCAGCTATCGAAATCATTACACCGGCGGCGGTGGGCAGTTCTGCTGGAACATATTTACCACAGCAGTGGTTGCGGCGTTTTGTTCTGCAACAATAGCCTGCAATGATGACATGTCATATAATGTCGACGAACAAAGATATAAAATTTAAAATGACTAACCTTATTCCCGGCCGATTTGGGAGACCACCATTGGTCACGACCAGAACGCATTTACCAAGAGGAAAAACCGCAGGGATGGCAGTAGTTCTTGCAATCACCATTGATGATGCTGTGCTTGTAATTAATAGTCTGAAAATACAAAAAAATTGCATTAATGAAATCTTATACACATCAAATAAATAAATTTCGAGAATTTGTTTACCATTTCACAAACCGAATTACCAAGAAATAGAAACTCACCGCGATGCGATACAGAAATAAAAACCAACAGGGCTGCATTTTCTTGGTAAATACACAAGCGCTCAGAGCAAACTGATCCGCAAAATTATTTTGTGAAAAATAATAGTTGAAAAGAGTTTTTACACATGATTATCACATTAAATCATAAGTGCAAATTATTGTGATTATTTTTAGTTGCATATAATTGTATTCCCTTAGACTTTTTTAAATGTTTTCTAATATTCATTCTTTTGGGACCCAAAAGCAACCATGCGCTCAATTTCTTGTGGGGAAATTTGGTCCCCATAAAGGACTTTCACCACGAAACAGCTACAAAAACAAAAACCTTTTCTACTGGTATACTGTGCTCCCGGGTGCATCACTGATTTACATGTATGGCTGTAGCTGAGTGTACAAAGACGCTTCGGTACAGTTGGTTGCTGCCAAGAGGGGGGGTCCGGGTTTAATTACCTTCAAACGGAACATAAAATTAATTTTTTTTCTTCTTAGTTACGAAAAAGCATTGTGCACTTCACAACGACATATTTTAAAAATTTAAAACGATTTGGGTTGGTGCTCTTTCATATACGTATTTTTTAATTTAGCACTTTTTTTTAATTCTAAAATTTTTTTCCCTCAGTGTATGCACTCGTAGTAGGCATGATTGCCATAATGAGTTCCATACCTACAAAAAAGTGTTGCGCTTGTCAGGTTGTTTTTTTTCTAACTTGCATGTGTTGTTGGCCGCTGTAGTCGAGGAGTTAGAGATGCGTTCTACCACTTCGGATGACCAGGGTTCGCACCCTGGCCAAAACAGTATCGCAAAAAAAATATAGAAAAAAGTTTTTTCTTAACAGTAGTCGCCCCTCGGTAGGCAATGGCAAACCTCCGAGTGTATTTCTGCCATGAAAAAGCTTTTCATAAAATCCATTTGCCATTCGGAGTCGGCGTAAAATTGTAGATCTCTCCATTTGTGTAACAGCATCAATACACACACCCAAATTGGAAAAGCTCGGTCAAAGACTTAGCAAAAGTGCAATCGCCAAAATGTTGTTATTTTTATTCGAATATCCGGCTTATAAAAGCAGCTTATCTTGCCGGCATTTTTGGAAAGATCAGTGAACTATATTTTTGCATGAAAAATTAACAACCGTATTAATAGCGAGAGACAAATTGTCACCTTTTAAGAATATGAAATTTCTCGATTACCTACCTGTGTGGAAAAGATAAGCATTGAATGTTTCGCTTTTTTATACAACTTTCTACAAGAAACGCGATGAATTACACAGGTCTACAAAATAAAATAAAAGTGTATGCATATTAAACCAAACCTATATATCCCTATGTTATTCGACATGCTGAATGCGAATTCGAGGTCCGTTAGCCTCCATCAGGCTCGCGGTCATTTGAAGGTTAAGTAGGGAAAAATTCATTGAATAAACCTGAAAATTCAATAAAATTCATCGGAATTTGACCTTGGGATGACCTTGGCATGACCTCTAGATGGCCTTGAGGAAGCAAGGGACCCCCATACTCGGTTTCGGCTACAACAAAAACAAAATTTTTATTCGGATTCGCATTCAGCGTTTCGAATAACATAGGGATATATAGTTTTGGTTTAATATGCATAAACTTTTTTTTTGTAAACCTGAGTTATCAAATGAAATGTGAAATGTCATAACTGGACACTTGGTCAATCTCCTGAAATCAGATTATTTTTCAGATGGTAGTAGTGTTATCGATGGTACAAAATCCATTTACGAAGCATTTATAGATCTTTAGAAATCTTCGACATTGAGAGACACACCTGAGTCTGTGTCTCTTAACGAGTTTTGGGTTAGTGTTAGGAGTTAATACCATGAAGTAGCTAAAAAGGCAATCTTAACTTTGCTTCCTTTTGTCACAACGTATCGCCGTAAGACGTTTTTCCTTACACTTATACAAATAACAAATTCAGGTCGAAATTGGATGCTTCCCGAGAATTGCGCACACGGCTGTGGGACAAAAAACCGAAATAATAAATAAAACAATTTCATTCATCACATTGAAAGTTAGAGTATGTGTACTATTTCAAATAAAAGTTTTTATTCCTATTTAAATTGCAGTGTCTTTGATTTTTAGTAATTTGATGTGGGGTTCCATAAAATAAAAAGTATTTAGTGGGGGTTCCATTACCTTAAAAGTTTGGGAACCCCTGATGTAGTACATGTACTTTTGCTCGATTTTCGGATATGTTACAGAGGAGGTCCTAAAGTGTTTGTAACAACAACAAAAAACATTTTTTTTTAAGTTATACAACATCCAAAATATTGGTTGTACCAAAAAATCAATTTGGACTTTTTTATTGACAAAGGCTGAGAAGATTTATAAAAAATTATAATTTTTTTAAGTCCAATATTAAATTCGCGATTTTTCGCAAAATAAGAGGATTATTGCAAAACAAAGTATAGGGAAACAAATGTTACCTGGGCTTCTACCAAAGTACGTAACTATCTTGGTTATCCGAAAAAAAAGGTTTTTAAGTCGCCCACTTCGCGTATTCGACCTAATTTTAATTTTAAATTTTAATTTTTTTATCAGCCACTGCTTTACGAAACAATTAATATCTCAGGCCCAATATCGATACACCCTATAAAAATTTGTTAGTTAGTCCTTTGATACACACTCTATAACATATATTTCTTGCAGATTTTTAAGTTTTAACAAATGAATGCATACACTGAGGGAAATAATGCATAGTAAAAATGAATACTTTATATTTGATTATCGTTTAAAAATGTTCGCATTTAAAAATAGTATTTTCATACAAAATTTATTACGCTCGTATTTGACTGTTCACATCTGAATATGTATATGTAAGTGTACATACCCTGTAGGGAAACCCCGATCTGGTGAACCGAATTTGTAGCTCCGTACTAGATCTTCATCGCCAAAAACGAACCAGTCCGATAATAACTGGATCGCCACCAGTTCAAAAGCAGCGATATGTGGTACTTTTAAAAAACAATTTTGGAAATCTATATCTAAAATAACGAATTTAGAACTGGTTCAAAACAATAGAAAAAGGAATGCAGAACGAACTAGATCTCATCTGGCGAATTTTGAACTTGTTCGAAACTACTGTAAAAGGGATGCAGCGGGAGGCTTGTTTACTTTAAATAGACTTTTGCTTGGCGGGTTTTTCGTTCGAATACGATTTCAGTCTGCACGTCGCAGATGCTTTTTCATAGTGTGGTAATACAAAACTAATATTTGTGTTAACATCTTAACATTTTGGGACCTTCTGGAATATAACCAATAACAGTCAGCACCTCTATAAATTCAGCTACAGCCAAAGGTATGTAAACCTGTTTTCAAATGCACAATTTAATTTACATACATTCAAACAAATTTGATTTCGGATTGAAAATACATTTTTCTGCAAATAATTAAAAATTGCTACCATGGTAACCCAAAAAGAAAACATCTTGTTACTTTTTTCGTTTACAACTGGTTCGAAACTATACAAAATGGGGTGCAAAGCGAACTAGATCCCATATGTCGAATTTAGGTCTGGTTCTGAACTATAGAAAAGGTAATGCAGCGGGGGACAATTTCCAATTCCTATGACATCGCTGTGTTAAATTCGCCAGTTGTTTGCATGCAAAAGAGATTTATCGCGAACTAGTAGTGCTTCCAAATGTATTAGAAGCGCACCGGTTCAAAACTAGACAGGGTACGCACCCCAAGCATGCAGAGCGCCGCTCTGAGAGCGCGGTGACAACACACACACATACATACATAGTACATACCCTACAAGAACAGTGACAGTCAATTGATGCATCATATGAGTTACAAAACTGATGCAAATTTCAGTCAAGTGTGATCACTCACGCTTGATGCAAATATCAGTCAACTGTGATCATTCACGCTTGATATCAAAGGATGTCATAAATGACTACAAATGTATGTACCAACCTTTTGATTTTTTTGTTTATTATAGTATATTTACAAACTATAGACAATTAATATAACTTATGTAGTTCAAACTTACGTTATTAAGAAAAAACATATATGTATGTATATAGATATGTAGAATAAAAAAAAATATGAGTTCAACTCATGATTCAATAATACAAGGTTGTGTAATTTGTGACAGCTAAAATTTGACACTCCTTTATCTAGATTTGTATTTTGGAAGTAGGAGAAAGGGGAATAATGTGATCGCCTTTTGCGAAAACGGTAGTAGAAAGGTACTACAATAAGTACGCAAAGTATACAATTAGAAGTAAAATGTGTATTATTTATTCTATGCGAATTTGCAATATATTTGGTGTTTTAATGGAAATACTAAACAATACATAAATATGTACATTTTTGATTTAAGTTATTCACCATTTCCTGGAACCGACCGTTCAGCTATGCAAAAAGGAAAACTGCAGATAAATAGAACTCATTTCAACCATGCCAAAATTATTTGGCACAAGTAAAAAAATCACGACGTTCTAGAAGGTTAAAGTTCAGTTTTTAAATTTTTTAAATACTAATATCTTACGAACTGCAGGTATAACCGATAAAAAAACTAATGACGCCACCATAAAGATAACTAATTTGTCTTTCAGCTGGTGTACATAATTTTTAGCTTCTTGTATTTTTAAACCAAAACCACTAAAAAACGAACAAATGTTATTTTTTCATGAAATAATATGTTTTGAAAAAAACTGCATAATTGTAAAGAAATTTATATTATTTAAAAAGTACAAGTTATTATCTTTAATTCGATATTACAACAACAATTCAGTGCCCTGCAAAAGTGGGACTAGGTTAAACACTGGTACAGGATCACGAAACCTTGTAACCAACACTAGTAACCAATGGTCCAATTGCGATGTCATTGGACCTGACCACCTCTGGTCCAACGCTGCATAACATGGGACCACCTAGACAACTACTCCTTTTGGACCATGGCACATTCGGCAACCGAATCATATTGCCGATGGGCCACGAAGAGATGGTGTTCAACACATATATCAGTTTTTTACGTTTAAAGAGGTTCAGGTCAGCATAACAAGTTACTAGTATGAAGCCTGGT